AAAGAAAGAAGGGAAAAGAAAAAATTATATACATATGATTGTCTATTACTAAATGAAAAATTCGTAAGGAGACAAAATGAGTGTCTGAGGGGTATAGCTGAAAGAAACATCTGGTCCAATAGATAAACATGGTAAGAACCTCAAGAGAAGGGAAGGGACAGCAACCTGGCCAAACACAGCAGATGAGGAGTGGTGACACTGGCATCTTGGAAAACATTTAAGAAATGTTTGCTACCAAAATGTAAACACATATATGAAGGCATGGGGTTAACTTTCCATCCTGAGGCACAAAATCATTCTTAGATCTAAGTGACAAGGCACACATCAAAATGTAGTTGCAAATTTATGCAGCTACAAGGATTGGGCAGAAAATCCTCAGTACTGACCAGCAGAGGCAATAACTCCCTCCTCTTCTGGGTGAATGTTCATCTACCTTCCTCACACAAGTTTAGGCCTAGTGTAGACAGTTTATGCAATGTTTTGGTTTTTAAAAAAATATTTTATTTATTTATTTATTTATGTGTGTGTGTGTGAGTGTGTGGCCAGCTCAGCCCACCAGGGGGCGGGGCTGGCTGGCATGTGGCGCTGGGGGATTGAACTGTGGTCCCTGTGCTTTGCTAAGCTTGTTCTAAGTAAGCGCTTTAGACCACTGAGCCATCTCACCAGCCCTATGCAATGTTTAAGAGAGCCCCAAACTTGACTATTATAATTAATGCTCACAAAAATGTTAGAATTAAAGTATTGTTGGGCAAGATTGCCAAGTCTTAATTTTTTTTTCTTTTATGTATTTGGTACAGGGTCTCACTATTCAGCGTGAACTCGTAGTGATCCTCCTGTTTTCACCTTCCCCAGCACTGGGATTATAGGTGTGGGCCACTACAGCCAGACTCAGTCACTGGCTTACAGCACCCTGGAAGCAGGGCTGGTGCAACATACGGGACCTGGGATTGAACCCCAGTCTCTGCACTTGCCTGACCATGCACTTGGTCAGCTGAGCTATCTCACTGGCCCTGACAAGTCTTTAATTTTTATGCTGTCCTCTCAGTATGAGCTGCAGTGCCCTGTTTTTCATCTCCTATTGTGCTGCTCCATCTGCCCTGGCTTCACTGGCTCTTTTTATATCTTCAGATAATTCTAATCTAGGAGATCTCTTCAGTCATTCTTTTGGTTGATTTTCTCTTAGCCATCCCTGAGGTCACAACAAAATATTATTTCTCAGGAAAGTTATGCCTGAAAACTCTGTTCTACCACAGCCCCTCCAAGACTGAGTAAAGATTCCTCTTATAATTCTTTGAGGTTTTTATTCAATCTACATATGCATTCTTTCTCCTCTCTCTCTCTCTCTCTCTCTCTCTGTTTCTCTCTGTTCTTGGGCAGGTGTCCACTGGGTTTAAAAAAATGTTTTCTTCTTCACTAAGTTATATTTATCAACTGCTTTGATACTTAGTCTATTTTTATTGATTACTATTCTCCACAGTTTAACACAGTGTATACACAGGTCTTCACAACTTATTTACTGAATGAGTGGATGAACTAACCTCTTATTTTGTGGCCGCGTGAGATCTCTCCATGGTCCTGAAAACTATTTGTGAAAAGACATTATTTTACTGAAATATTTTATTTTATTTTATTATTTTTTGATAAAAGAAACTTCATTTAAAATTGTTTTACAGACATGGGTGCTTGAGAAAGCTCTTTAATTAACTGAGTAAGGAAATGAAAAAATTGATAAATGACATTAGTATAAAAAATACGGAATGCTTCACAAATTTGCATGTCATCCTTGCGCATCCTTGGGTCATGCTAATCTTCTCTGCATCATTCCAATTTTAGTATATGTGCTGCTGAAGTGAGCACCTGAAATATTTTAGAAAAATGATATAGGACATTACCAGCAATTGATATCAGCTAACCATGGAGAAGGAAAAGATGAGAGAAGAAAGGATACTAATAAAATAAATTACTGCACCTCATGGTAGCTGCCAGTAATCTCAGCTACTTGGGAGGCTGAGGCAGGGGAATCTCATGTTCTAGTCCAGCCCAGGCAACTTAGCAGACCACGTTTCTTTTTTTCTTTTTTCTTTAATGTATTTTAGTATAAGACCTACAGGGTCTCATACACAGATCGCACTCATAGATACCCCTGTTTTCAGCACTGAGATTACAGGTGTGGGCCACCACACCTAGTCTCAGTCACCATCTTAGCACACCCTGGAGGCAGGGCCAGCATAGCACATTAGGGACTGAAAAGCCCATGTTAACGCAAGGTGCGCGATTGCGGGGTTTGACCTGAGCTACATAAATCATTCTTACCTAAGGGTAGCATTAGTATTTATTTATTTACAATTAGTTTTTTCTTTTTTTTTTGTGGTACTGGGGATTGAACTCAGGACCCTGCTCTTGCCAGGCGAGTGCTTATTCTACTGAGCTATCTCCCTGGGCCCTACAATTAGTTTTTCAGCTCATGTAAAGAGTTCAATCTGTAACAAATGGGCTTATGTCAGCTTCAGGGTGAAAAAGAAGGAAATGTTTGTGACTCAGCTCCAATATGTAAGTATAGAGCTAATGATTAATAAAACATGCTTTCCAGGATAAGTGTCTAAAAAGAATAGATGCTTTGTAGTAAATAGTGTACATATCACTAAAACTTTAATTACTGAACATAAATAATTTTGTTCTTTATTTTTATTTTTTCCATAACTTTATTGAGAAACAAATAGCAATGATACAGTTTCAAATCAAATTGGCAGGACAGTATCAATAATTAACACATGGCATACTCTCTTCCTAGTAGTTATTTGCCATACAAGATGCAGACATGATAACCTATTTATAAACACTACCAGAACAAATCCCTCTATTCATTAAGAGAATGTAACTATGCATCTATCCTAACCATTGTTCTTTATTTTTAGCAGTCATGTTTTGACCAAGTTTTATCCTGAAAAGATAATAATGTCAATTTCATGATGGTCTGTTTTTTTGTTTTGCTTTATTTGAGGTACTGGAGATCAAACTCAGGACCTTATGCTTGCCAGGCAGGCACTTACATGACTGGGCTATCTTTCTGGCACCCATTTTTCTTTATTCTGAAGAACACATAGAAATGTCTTCTAAACTTCTCAGTTCTCTCAATTATGCCCCTAAATATTTTCCATTGAGAATTGCTGATGTGTTACTTATGAGAGGAACTCTCAATATCAAGCAATGATCTGAACTTGCAAACTTTGAAATAAATGAGCTGTTAGGTCAACATAGGGTTGGAAATAAGTATGGACATGTGATGATTGGGCTCAGGGGCAAAGGCAGAAAGCAGGTCTCAGAGAGGGTGGTGCAAGAAGCAGGCATGATGCTTTTCTGAACTTCAGAGTCACAGAGAAACCGGAGCACTGACCTGTGACCATAGGGACAGAGCTGAGACTTTTACTCCCTATCTCAGAGAAGTTTGACCAGCAGCAGAACACAAGTATTTATGCTTGATGCCCAGGGCATGAAACCTCACCACTCCTAGATGATTCAGACTTTACAGGAAAAACCCCTGGATTCATTCCCTTAGGAATTCTTTTTCCCTTTCAAGAATTCCACCACCATGATAACATTGCAGAAACTTCCAGTTTAAATTTTCCACAAAGTATAAATACAACCTTAAAGACTGTGTTGTTTCTTGGTCTCTAACAAGTGCTGGAAGTGAAGGAATTATAAGTAGGCGAGGTACTTGAAATATTGGCCTACGGACTAGGGAGATAGCTTAGTGGACTAAGTGCCTGCCTGGCAAGTGCAAGGACCCAAGTTTGAACCCCTGTACCTCAATGTTGTGGCAGGTATTCCATGTTAGCCATCGAGAGTGGGCCTGGTGGTGCAGGCCTGTAATCCTAGCATTGGGGAGGCAAAGACAGGAGAATCACTAGGAGTCCAAGCTGTGTAGTGAGACTGTGTACCAAATAAGTACTTAAATGAATGAGTTAGAAATTTTGAAACAATATTGACCTTTAGCAGACACTTAAAAGTTTTAAATTTTTTTATTAATAAAGTAATAATAAGTTACCTTCCTTTATTACAGAGAACACAGTCAGGTCCAGTTCTGAATGTCTGCTAAATTGTTGTTAGATATAATTTCTGTTTAAGAATACATTCAAAATTTGGGAGGCCAGCCAAATAGCTCAGTGGATTAAATCGCATGCACGCAGGCTCAGGGACCAGTGGTTCAATCCCCGGGTCTGCTGTGCCGGCCCCACCTTTGGGGCGCACTGAGATGGCGATTGAGACTGGGTGTGGTGGTGCGTGCCTGTAATCCCAGCTCTTGGGAGACTGTAAACAGGAGAATCACTATGAATCCAATCTAGTAGTGAGACCCTGAATACCCTGTAAACCTTTCCCTAAAATACACACACAAAAATGAATATATACAATTTAGATATTGTAGGATGAATTAAAATGGTGAAAAACCTGTTGATATATTGTTTCCTCAGAACAGGTTTCTTTGTATGTCCTTATAATTTGTTCAATTCCACAACTTTTACTTCATTACTGTCCTATGAAAAAAATGACAAAAATATAAGCACCAGACCCAAAAAAATTTGATTTGATGTCAGTATTCTAGCAAGTAGCTATTAATTTTATAGCGAAGAAAGTGAAGAACGTAGAGTGAGATCTGGTCTCACTTTCTGCTTATTTCAGTCTATATAAAGTAAGGAACCTGGGCAAGTTTCAAAGCAGATTTCTTTATAAATCTAGAGCTTGACCAGAAGATGATATGTAATATTAAGGACTACCATCATACATGAGGTATGTTCACAAACATGAGCTAGACTAAATGTTAGCTTAGGCAAAATAAAATTTATCATCCTACTGTGATTCAGACCTGCTATAAATAGCAACTGTTTAAAAGGTGTTATTTAGTAGTTTCCATTTTGCAGCTGTCTATTTAAATCATTTAATTTTGGCATCTAATCCAACTCCCAGTCACCATCAGAGATAAATAAGAAACCATATGTGAAGGCATCTGCAGAAACCTTCTTTTTATTTATGACAGCATTAAAGTAAGACTCTGATGTCAGTTACTTAACAATAATAGACGTTCCCTTGCACCTATAGTGCTGGGTTACTTGGGCATATCCCTCAGTGGTATCTTATACCTCCTGCTGTTTGCTTCATTATATACAGATGCACAGCAGTGGAGACAGTAATAGCCTTTCTTAATTAAATAAAGCTAAATGTTAATTAGCCCAAAAATTGATTTATTTTCAGTGCATGAAACTTTCATAGTGGGATTCTTGCTTTTAAAGAACAGGTTGTATTCTCATTTAGAACTTTACAATTTCCGCCTGTATTTTTGGTTTGTGTTTGGAGTCTTGTGGTGGGAATCTAATCGTCATAGAGAAATTATAGGTCTACAGATGTTTTCAAGATGTTCCTCTGTCAGTAGCAGATTATCCCCTGTAGCAAAATCTCATTAAAGTGCAATTTACGGAGCTCTGCTGATGTTGCCATCAACCAAAATTAAAGGCATTAATTTTTCAAAGTTCACAGAAGTCCTTACATAAATGATGTAGCAGTTTGCAAGAACAATTTACAGAAGTGTTATTTGCAGAATTAACCTACATTAACAGAACAAATGTTGTAAGGGTGGTAGAAAGGGCTGGGCAGTGAAATTGCAGCTGTTCCCTTTTTATATTAGGTGCTTGATGTAAGGAAGTGGTGAAACGTAACAATGACTGCTTGCTGGGGGGAAGTGGAGAAGGGAAAACAGGACTCCAAACGACCTCACCGAAGAGCGAAGCTTACAATAGCGTGATCAGCAGTCGGGGACACCCAGTGAGACCTTAAATTCTACTTTGCAACATCTGTACTCACTATCTCTTAAAATATTCTCATTTAGAGAATGAGTTTATGTAGCTCATGTTGCGAGCATTTCTCTTCGATAAACTGCCAAATGTTTGAAAATTTATTATCCATACCTCCACGGATGGCTGCCGGGAGTTGCACACCATCTCAGCGTTTGTAGCCTGAGATGTTAAGAGGTGACTGTCCTAGGAGAAGGGTTTTTAGTTTTGTTATTGTGTTTTTTCCTCCCACAGAATCTTGATTATTGGGTTTAAAGCATCATAGATGAAACTTAAAAAGCATTAGAAATATCTGAACTTAGAACAGTAAAGCAAAAAACTTTTAATTTAGGAGCAGAAGCAGTTTTGCTACCACCTTTGTTTCAGAACAGAGGGTATAGTTCTTATATCTCATTAATCTTTACTGGTCTTTTTTCTTCCATTACATTAGTTATTTCAGCCTGGATTTGAATCTCATTGTATAAATAAGAAGGCTCATCAATCACACCTGGTCTCAGCCACCCTTTCTCTAAGGCTCCTGCTTTCCTGACATCTCAGGGAAGGGCCTTCTTTATTCCAGGAAGACTGGGTGGCACTTGAAGATGAGAGTCAATGGTTCGATAGTATTGGTCCCTATTCTAGTTTGGTCTCCACAGTTTGCGTCACCAGCAAACACAAACTGTCTCTCATAGCTAGCCCTTGGGTATGAAGCTGTGTTCCTAGTGAACAGGTGTGCACACGTCTTACAAGCATCCCATAAATGCTATGACAACCACTTAAATTCTTGTGGTTTGAATTGTCTCATGTATGCCAGACTCTGTTTGCTTTGACTGAGTTTTGTCTGGCTGCATACCCAGTTTGATTACATACGTAGTTGGCTTTTATTTTTCCCTGTGAATTGCAATAAGCTCAGAGACCTTTGTCAGGAAATTTGCCCTGGATGAGTTACTATGGTAATTATACCCCTCAAAAAAAAAATCAAATATTTTTCAAAAAATCATAGATAAAATTTTTAAGAAAATAAGTGAAAAGTAT